TGCCTTTGTAGAGATGTGAATTCTTCTCTTACTTCTGCTTTCTTGTCATCCCAGAGATTTTGATAAGATGTTTCTTCATTTTCATTTGTTTCCAGCATTCTAGATTTAATAGAGTTTTATATACATATTCATATTGATATATGTTGTCATAAAATTGCAACCTCAGAGACAATTTGAAATTCTGAAAGTATAAAATAAAAAGAAGTAATCTCAAAAGTGAGGAAAAATTGTACTTTGAAAAACGTAAGAAAGCTTAACACAAAATTACATGCCAGAAGATGATTGATATTTTTAAAGTGCTAAGGAATGTAATTAAAATACTGAGTTATTGGCTAAAAATGTGTCCTGGGGTTAAATTTAATGCATTTTCTAAATTAAAAAAAAAATGAGTCTATTTGCTGCATATACCTTTTCACTGAAAATGCTATGAACAGATCTACTTCAGAAAGATTGTTATGGGCTGAAGTATATGCCCCTAAAATCCATATGCTGAAGCCCTCTCCTCCAGTGTGACACTATTTGGAGATAAGGCCTTTATTTAAGGTTAAATAAAGTTATAATGGTGGGTTACTAATACAATGTGTCCTCAGAAAAAGGGACAGACAGCAAGAGTCTGCAGGTACAGGGAAAGACCATGTGAGGATACAGTGAGATGGTGGTCCATTTACAAGGCAGGAAGAGAGGCCTCATCAGAAAACTATCCTGCAACTCCTTGGAGGACATCCATTAAGATTTCTTGCATTGTAAGTGTGCTGCTGATGATTTTTTGGGGATTTTTTTATGTCTGAAAAAGTCTTTGTTTCTCTTTCAGTTTTAAGAAGTATTTTGTCTGTGTATTCTGGGTTGAGAGATGTTTACCCCCCCACTTTCAGTGCGTACTTTATTATTATGATTATTTTGTATTTTTATTTTTTGAGTTGGAATCTCACTCTGTTGCCCAGACTGGAGTGCGGTGGCACGCTCCTGGCCATCGAAGCCTCGACCTGTTGGGCTCCAGCGATCTTTCCACCTCAGCCTTCCAATAGCCGGAACTACAGGCGTGCACTACCACGCCTGGCTAATTTTTGATTTATTGTAGAGACAAGGTCTTGCCAAGTTGCCTGGGTGGGTCTCAAACCCACAGGCTCAGGCAATCTACTCGCTTTGGCCTCCCAAAGTGCTGGGATGACAGGCTGAGACACCGAGCCTGGCCTCAGTGCATACTTTAAAGATGCTGCTCCTGTAGATTCCTGATTGCACTGGTTCTGAGAAGAATCTGCTATCATCCTTATTTGTGTGTCTGAACATAATGCCTCTTTTTTTCTGAATACTTGTTGATATTTTCTCTTTAAAACTAATCACAATTTTTTTTGAAGAGGAATCTCCCTCTATCACCCAGCGGGGAATACAGTGGCAAGGCTCACTATAGCCTTGACCTCCCATTCTTCTACTTCATCTTCCTGAGTAGCTAAGACTACAGATTTGAGCCAATAGGCCCAGGCTAATTTTTAAAGCTTTTCTTTTCTTTCTTTCTTTTTTTTTAAGAGACAAGGTTTTGTTATGTTTTCCAAGGTGGTCTTCAAATTCTGGTCTCAAGGATCTTGCTGCTTAGACCTCCTAAAGTGCTGCCCCTGGCCCAAAACTACTTTTGAGAAATTTGATGTGTACCTGCCACCCAGCCTTCCCTTTTAGAACACTTAATTACCCATCTATTAGGCCCTTGAACTTGCCCCCAAATCAATGATGACCTTTTTATTTTTCAAATTTCTTCTTTCCTCTGCATTTCACTTGGGTAGTTTTTATTGTTACATGTTCATGTTCACTAATATTTTCTTCTGAAGTGTCTAAACTGCCGTTATTTATATCCAGCGTATTTTTCACCTAAGATATTGTGGTTTTACACTCTAGAAGTTCAATTTAGGAATTTTTTATTTCCTCCATGTGTCTTAACTTTTGAGCACCTGGAATACATTTATAATAATTGTTCTTATGCCCTTGTCTGCTAATTCTAATATCTGTGCCAATTCTAGATTGGTTTTGTTTGATTTTTCTCCTCATTATGAGTCATACTTTATTGCTTTTTTTGAAAATCTGGAAATCTTTGATTTGATGTCAGACATTGTGACTTTTCCCTTGTTGAGTGCTGAATATTTTTGTATTCCTATAGATATTTATGAGCTTTGTTCTGGGATGCAGTTAAGTTACTTGGAAATAGTTTGACCCTTAGGGTGTAGCTTTTAAGAGTTAATATGCACAAACAGAACAGTGTTAATTTTTACCATAGTGGCAAAAACTTTCTGTGTATTCTACCCAATCATGTGACATATGAGATTTTTCCAGTCATACTAGTGTCAGACGTACACTTTTCCCCACCGTTATGTGTGCTGGGCACTTTCTCCTTTAATTTTCTTAAATGACTCTTTGCCAGCCTTGAGTAGCTTCCTCATAGGCATATGATTATTAGTTCTTTGCTGAATAGTATCCCTCTGTTCTGGTACTCTGTGCTGCAAGTTCTAGCAGGCTTGATATCTTAGATGCTCAGTGTTGTCTTCTTGACTCAGGAGTTCACTGAGCTTCTGTCTCTACACCTGGTCTAGAAAGTCTCTCCAGGTCATCAAGTGGAATAATCAAAGGGACTATACTATTTGTTTCCCAGCTTTCAGGGATCAGTGTTCTTCATCGCCTGATGTCTTGAAATCTTTCATTTTATATATTTTGTTTGATTTTTAAAAATCTCTGACAGAGGGTAAATCTGATCCAAATTAGTTCATTTGACTCAAAAGTGGAAGTTCCTATGTAAAATTATTGGGGTCTTTTTTAGTTTAGTTTTTTAAATAAGATTTTTTCTACTTAAAAAATTAATTATATTTAGCTCAACGAAGTTATTTTTACACCCAGTAACTAGTAATATTTTGTCATAAAATATTTCCTTAAAGACAAAATTTTTTACTAAATGATTTCTTATTTCATTAAAAAAATCATGGGGTATTACAGTTAAAACTACTATAATCATTTATGTAGAGTTTTGTATGGGCATATGACTTCATTTCTCTTGAATATCCTTCAAATGGATATTTGGGTCATATGCTAGGAATATGCTTAACTTTTAAAAGAAACTCTGTATCTCTGTTACAAAGCAGTTGTGTCATTTTATATTTCCACCAATCTACATATCCATGTACATGGAAGTGAATAGATAAATAAATTGTAGTGTTTTCCATATAATAGTGCACTACTCAATAAGAAAAATAATATCCATTGATATATGCAACCACACAATGAATCTTTCAACAAGAAGGTTGAGGGGGGTGACTTATAGGGGCAGGCAAGAGGAGAACAAAAGCAGAGAGCTCCACCTTTCCTGGGAGCCACGTTCTGCTAAAGTCCCACCAAGCATAGTTTCAAGTCCCATGAAGTTCATCTAAAGTTCCATGAAGCGTAGTTTAAAAGTTCACTCCACTATCCTATTTTCATTTCTAGTCTTGTGCGCAGTTGGTGCATTCTTCAAATTCATCTCAATATTCTGGAAGACACCAAGCCTGCAATGCCCAGTCTGCCTCTGCATGGGTATTATGTTGGGGCTTGTACCACTGACAGTTTTTTCTTAAAATCCCTCATTTTTGCCTGCTTAATTCCTCAATCTGAATCCCTCCAAATTTAAGGGTGATATTGAAAATTTTAGATGACTTTTCTGATTTAGTTTATTACTCCGATACTGCCTTATAGACAGGTCTTGAAGAAATAAGAATGTATTATGCTATTACTTAACCATCTCGATTAGAAAATTTATACTAACTTACACTGGGGTTTGATTTAACAGTCAGAGAGCAGATATTGCTGGGGAGAGGTATGAGGAAGCTGAATAAAACACAAAGGCCTTTGAAGACTATCGGTGAGTGAGTATCACTGACAGTGAACAGGCACAAAATGAGGATGATTCATGCTCTGCAGATGGTTCTCTCCTCATTCTCAGTACTATCCATATCTGGCTTTAATTGAGAGACTGCTATGTGGGATAAGGACAGAGTTTTATAACTTTTCATAAGCCTTGTAAATGAAACAATGTTTGAAGAGTATTTTCATTAAGTATTAAATGATATAAAGAGTAATCATGTTTAAAAACATTTTGGTATCTAATGTGATTTTTAATATCAGAAGAAGCATAATAAGTATTCATGAAAGAAGAAGACTGAATTCAAGAGAGATGTTAGAGGTTTTGAATTATTAGAGAGACAAGTTAGAGGTTTTGAATCCAGATGATTTTTCTAAGTCTCATGTTCCTATTGTCAAAAAGGAGACAGTTATTCCTGGACAATAATCTCATAAGGTTGTTCTTCCAGGTGACAATGTATGGACACTTACAAACAATTCATTGATGAGCTACTAAATCATCAACACCCAGCATTCGGGAGTTACAACTTCTCTGATTCACCCAGGAAACTTCAATGCTTTGGATAGCAAAAGCTTTGGATAAACTATGAAAATATCTCTTCATTCTTCTATTGGAGCTTCTCAGTTGAGATGATTTTTGTGCTCATGTAATTCTATTCACTAATTTAGATATTTGCTATGTGTAATCTCTATGCATTGAATTGTAAAATGTTATTGGTAAAAATTCGAGTTGATGAGCAAATTGTGTAGAGATAAGTTAAAGTAAATATTGCAAAACAATGAAAGAAAATATGTCCTTATTTGCATGGTAGCAAATGAGAATTTAACTTTCACTTCAGCATCAGCTATGAAAAATTCTAGCCTAAAGCAAGGACAGAGAGTGTTTGAATAGGAGTTAATTTGAACTGCATTGAGAAAGATGCTGTTTTCCATAAAGGCACCATTGAACTCATCCTTTAGTATGCCCTGGTGCTTCCTGGCTTGACATCAGTCACATAAATTAAAAGTAAGAAGAATGTCACTGTACAATCAGAAATGAGGTACATACAGAATTTAAGGTCAGGAAATTAAAGGAATCAGAATCACTGATATTAGGCCTGCATTTTTTTTCTCTTTTTGTCTGTTCAGACATGATGCATTTTCTATCCATTCTTTTTACCATCTTAATAGTGGTTGAATTTGTTTTTGGAAATTTGGTCAATGGCTTCATAGCACTGATAAATTTCATTGATTGGGTCAAGAGACGAAAGATCACCACAGCTGATCAAATTCTCACTGCTTTGTCAGTCTCCAGAGTTGGTTTGCTTTGGATAATATTATTAGATTGGTCTTCATCTGTGTTTAACCCAGACGTGTATAATGTAGAAAGAAGAATTGTTGCTTATAATGCTTGGGCAATAATCAACCACTTCAGCCTCTGGCTTGCTACTAGCCTCAGCCTATTTTATTTGTTTAAGATTGCCAATTTCTCCAACCTTATTTTTCTTCACCTAAAGAGGAGAGTTAAGAGTGTAGTCCCAGTGATACTGTTGCGGACTTGGGTATTTTTGGTTTGTCATCTAGTGGTGGTAAACGTGGATGAGAGTATGCGGACTAAGGAATATGAAGGAAATGTTACTTGGAAGATTAAACTGAGCAAAACTTTGCACTTTTCGACTATGACTGTAACCACGCTAGCTAACTTCATACCGTTTACTGTGTCTCTGATATGCTTTCTCTTGTTAATCTGTTCTCTGTGCAAACATCTCAAGAAGATGCAGCTCCATGGTAAAGGATCTCAAGATTCCAGCACCAAGGTCCATATAAAAGCTCTGCAGACTGTGATCTCCTTCCTCTTGCTACTTATCATTTATTTTTTGTCCCTAACTATATCGACCTGGAATTCTACTAAACAGCGAAACACACCTATCTTCATCTTTTGGAAAGCTATTGCAATCAGCTATCCTACAATCCATCCAGTGATTCTGATTTGGGGAAACAAGAAGCTAAAACAGATTTTTCTTTCAGTTTTGTGGCAGGTGAGGTGTGGAGTAAAATGATAGAAACCCCTCAATGCCACAGATTAACAAGAGGAACCTCGTGCGTCTTTTAGCAGAAGACAAATGATGGTGTCTAGAACAGTTTATACTTTCTTCTGGTTTTTGCATGGTGTATGTATTTGAGTGATTTCCAAAATCAAACCCAGAAAAGACTTTTACCTAAACTTAGTATGAAAAAGTGTATATGGATGTGTATGTGTGTACATGTGCATGAAAAGCTTAAGATACATTAATAATAATGTATCCTTAATCAATTTTTTGCACAAATCACTTAATTATAGAAAATATTGTAAGAAACATAAAGTATGTATATTTCACATATATATTTTACGTGATCATATTTTATTTGAAGAATGTATTATCTACAATTATACATTATTAAGACTTACAGCTTATTTCTAGAAATTATTGCTGTTTTCCCTTGTAATTTGTACCACAGTGTGTTTAGATTTCATTGTTTGAATTCTAAATTTTTGGATGGTAAGGATATTCCATACAAAACCAATAATGAGGCTGTATCTTAGGGGTAGGTTTTATTCCATCATAAATTCTTTTGTTATATTTAGTATAAAACAGATTTTCTCTTAGAAAAAAGATGCAAATGATAAAAATTTAAGAGTGACAAATATATTTAGAGTAAATTTTGTCTATGTGTGCCATATTGTGTACCAGTATTATTTAATACTGAGGAATATTTGATTTAATGCAAGCATGTGAATAATAGAAAAATTGTTTCTGCAATTGAGTTGAAGAAGAAATATTGACCTATTTTCAATGTTGTTATAAGTTTCTGTGTGCAGTTTAGAAATGTCATTTCTTCCAATTTTTGAAGTAAAGAAAACCTTTCTTGAGGTTGAGATCTGATGTCAAATAATACAGTTTTTTTCTAAACCACCTCTGAGCTCCTGAATTGTCAATTATCTTCTTTATCTTCCAGACTTAAAATTGCTTTTAAATATCAAATAAAAGAATTCAAAGCTACTCTATCTTAAAATAAATGCTCACCATAAAAATAGTTTAGAAATTATGGAACATGATTTAACGAAATTTTCTTTAAATGTTAAAATGGCATCTTTGAAATCTATATATTATTTATAAGAAATGTCTTAAAGATATGCTTTCTTATAAACTTGTAAGTGATGAAATGAGAGGAATTGTGTTGACATACTCCTTGATAGCAAGTTTCATTATTGGAAGAAAATGTGCAACCTTGTTCAACAACTTAGTTCTACATGACTGTATGCATATTTGGTGTTATAAAATTTTAATGCTATTATCTCAGACTTAAGGTCAGTCATCTCCATATCTGCTATATTTATTTGTTTGTTCATCATGTATCTTCCCCAATACAATGTAAGCAGAGATCCTGTCTGTTTTGCTTCTTGTTGACTCCAGAATCTAAAAGCCAGCACATAGGATGTTGGCTAAAATGATACTCTAATGAAAAAATAAGTTGATAAATTCGTGAATAAATAGGTGGGCAACCAAAGAAAAGGAAACCCATTACAAAATCTGCAGTTGTATTCATTTCCCTTTTCTGGTTTCATGTTGAGGTTATAGGCTCTTCTAAGTAGAATCATTTCTCAGAGCAAAAGCATGACTATTTCCCAATATTAAGGGAAATATCACCATAATATAACCTTCATGCAGGTATATCAGGTGTGTGAAGTGATAAGGTAGAACATCAAAACTAGATGACTCCTAGTACAATCGTTTTTAAAAAGCATATAACAGATTTTGTATATTTGCTTATATTTTTTTCTATTGTGAACAATATAGTTTCACTATGAAATTTTCTAGCTGGCATTTCATTTTTAAAAAGTGAATTATATAATCATTTTTCAGTATCTTAAGAAAACTTTTAAAAGCACAATATTATAAACTCTCAGAAAAGTGAATAGATTATAATTGTACAACTGAATGAATATCTTAACCTTGGGCTTCTAAATCCAGAGCCAATGCTCAGGATTGAAGTGATGACATTTATTTGGGAAGGCAAGTCCAGGGCAGCAATGGGGGCATGTGGAAACAGAGGCAAGAGCAGATGTGATGTAATCTGATATGATGTATGACTCTGTTGTGGACTACATCACAACGAGATGAGAGACAGCATGGCGGTCATCACAAATGTGCACTTGGCCCACAGAGTTTTTCTAGAAGAACTTCAGGAGGGGAATCTTAGCTAGCATTAGTTTATGGAAGAGAGAGAGAGGAGGGGAATTTATCTTCTCAGCTCTCTTCTGTCTTCTATTTCCCTTTGGCCAGGGCTTACCTGAAGGAGAACTAACATCTTTGCTTTTCTGTCTTACATCATCCAATCTCTTGGACATTTAGAAAGTCAGATCTCATACCCCCAGTGGGGTGTTCCATTCATCTGCAAAATAGATAGATAACCTTGATGAGGAAAGGTGCCTACCAAGAAAACAGAGGAAGTCAGGGGAATAAGTGGAAGCATGCAGTTTGTGTCCAATAGAGTCCATTCCTTGTGCCACTCAAATGGACTCATGCTTTCTTATAGTAGCTGGCTTTATGACCATAGGACTTATGCAATTTCACAGGGTCTTGTGCTTAGGGGGGCTCATTTCTTGGTTTAATTATCTGTACTTGCTTTGTTTTTCAGACATATGGTCTCCCTTGCTGAAGAGTAGATGGTCATGCACAAATTCACTAGGGGTTCCTCTCCTTTCTCCTAATGACCTCTCAAAAACATGTAAACAGCCTTGAATCTGCTAGATCATATGACACAATGGGCAGAGCAGCTTGGACCATAGGCTATACCCTCTATAGAGCCCTCTCTTGTTCTGGGTTCCACTTGAAACCAGTAGCTTTTAGGGAAACTCCATCAATGGGTCAGGCGAATACCCTCAGTGTGGTATTTTGCTGGCCTCAAAAATCCAAAGAGGTTCAACAAACACTGTATCTCTTTTTTTAGTGACAGGAAATACACAGAGTAGCATGCCATTTACTTTAAAAAAGGTATTTCAACATGTGGACCAGATCATTTGACCCCTAAAAACATCGCTAGTGTTGTAGGTCCCTGAGTCTCTAAGGTTTATCTCTCTTATTCTGGTATTTTACTCTTATTTGATGTTATATTATTTTGCATATTTTAAAAATTTGCCACTTCTTTCTTAGATGAATCAATTCATGTAATATTATAAATACATTGAATTAACCTGATACTTTACAAAATGTCAATTAAACTGGGAGCAAAAGTGATATAACCTTGACATAAAATATGAAAGAGTGCTAGTGTTCTTCCCACACAAAATCAAATTATCTTGATTTTCCCTCATGATGGGTGTAAATTTAAAAACACTCACCGAATCAGTACCCAAATGAAAGTGCCAGAGGTTATATTATGCTCAGTGAAGATAACATATTCAGAAGAACAACTGTAAGTGCGATGTAAGTGTATGGAAATCTGCTTTTATCCAGTAATCCATCTGGTCTGGGCAGAGGTCAGATATGTTAACTCAATAGGGATACATAAAGGACTACCACCCCCTGTAGCTCTCATGTTTTTTGTGGTCACAGTGATAAATTCTATTCCTTGGAGAATGCAGTTATTATTCTTCATTCATTGTCTTGCCAGGAGGGGAGATTTCAGAGGCCTCCTCTGGGTCCTGCTTGCAATAATGTCCATTACTCTTCATCAGGACGTAACATGAGAGTTCTGCCAGCTGCCAAATCTGTCCATTTCGATTATAATTCAGGGTTAAATAACTACAAACACATTAGATCCACGTCTGCAGGGATGTGAGCCAAAGTTCTAAGTAGAATCTGACATTCAAAATCTCCCACTCCATGTATTAGACCACAGTAATTTTTTGCCAATCTGGATATTAGGGTTAATTCAGGACCCCTATCTAAAAGTCTCAGAGAATATAAAACGTGCCATTTTTTTCTGGGCACTGTTATCTGGTAAGTGGCTACAGGTCTTTGAAGAAGCACCATATGGAGATATCCTGAACATTGTTGTGGTGAATTTTCAGGGTCCTTTATCCAGGAACTTAAACTTCCCTTCAATCACTGAACTCTGGTTCTCCAAATAGTCTTAATCCTAAGAACTGACTGAGGGACTTTGGCTTCCTGCGTCAAAGGTCTATCTCCTATAATAGTAAGCCCTGTCTTCCCCCTAGTTTATAGTGTTTCTCAAACTGACACATACCTTCAACTGTTGACTTGTGAATCCATTCCAATGAGGCTGTTGCTCTTGATTGTATCTGATGTTTGCAAGATCACCAATGAGCACACATTGTCAATGCTCAGACTTTCATGTTTCATGACCTATCAACAGCACTGAACAGTGTTTGCTTTCCAGGATGCAACCTTCTCTTTGTTCATGGAGCAGCACTTCTCAGTTTCCTTTGCTAGTTTTTCTTCTTCTCTCTGAACTCAAAATATCAGATTGTTCAGCAGCTTAATTCTTCTATTTCTGACCAGTTATGCTTATTTTGTTGGTGATATCATGCAGTCACCTTACAGATAATATAGCTAAACAGTTCAAAACAGGGGTATAAGGGTAACTATTCATATATATTTATAGTCATAAATACAGTTATTAATTCACATATGCTTATATATCACATACTTTTTTTTCAAATGTCAAAGTTTCATTAAAAGCAACGCTACTAAAAATCTAGGAAGAAGAAGCATTAATAATATTTTGCCTGAATTTCTGCTATAACAGCCTGATGGTGACCTAGTATCTCATTTAGTTTTATTTACAATAGCAATATAGGAATTGATAGCTTGATAGTTGGGGATTATTACTGTAAATATAATGGTCTAAGTAGAGAAATATATAGATAGAATTATGGTTGATTAACCCATTTTGATTACTTACATTTGATGTAGTATTATATAAAGATTAGCAGGAATGAAAAGTTAAAATGAAACACACTGAACTGCTACATATACTCTTAAACATAACTTTGACACTGAAATGAATACAGATACTGTTCTTGAAGGAACTAACTTGTTATTCTGATTTCTGAAAGTAATGTGCGGGAATTATCTTCATTGCCTTTCCTGCCTTGTCTGAGAAAGATTGTCTTTCTCTATCAGCTGTTGTTTCAACGAAAACCTAATGTTTTCCATCCTGAGGAAAACGTGCAGAGGTGGGGACTCGGGGTGAGCTCCTCTGAGATAAGTGTAACTTTCACTGGGGACTTGAACTCTGATTCCTTTTCAAAAAACCCATGAAGTCTAAGCCCCAACATGCACACCCCCACCCCCCAACGGTTATGGTTGTTTGTATTTCTCTTTGTCTTCTCTCTCAAGCTCATCTTTGTTATCTGGACATAGCTAAGCCACGGGATCTCCCTGCCTCTACACCCATGGTATGTTTGGGGTCTAGCCTTAGGATCTTTCCATAAAATTTATCCATGTTAGCTGATTTTGCCTTCTCAATATGTCTCTTCACTAAATGGAGGGCAGTTTTAAAGATGGCCTGGGTTGATTTCCTTTGCTTAGTATTGCTTCAGGGTGAGGGGGTCAGCTCTTCGCACTGGTATATCCCGCATCTTTCTCTGCCATCTCTGAAGTGTATGATGCATGTTTTTTGGCTTTCTTTGGCAGCTGTTGCTGAGTTTGTCTTACTGGTCCTTTACTCACTGGTCCTTTAGTTATTGAAGAGGAATGGTCACGTCATGCGGCCTAGTGCTTCATCTTGACCAGGCAGTATGTCATCCTTTATCTACATGGGCACCCGTAGTGAGGGTTGTGAAGCACTTGCTTCTGGTAGAGTAAATGGGTGTGGAAAAAAAAACCTGAAGGCATTTGGGGATGGAGAATGTGCCCTACCGGGCAATGGAGAAACACAGAATGAGGAGAATTTTTGCTTTGTGGATGAACTCCTTCAATCTTAGTGACTGCTTCAGGAAGCAACAGATCCATTTTCTCAATCACATATAAAAAATATTCCCAAAGCCTACTGAATATTTACCTTTAATACTATGCAATATAGACTTGTAAGGCTTTTTAAAGAGTGGCTTAACAACTATCACAGTACAGAGCAAAAACTTTAGCTGCATATTGAATATTGAAATAAAAAGTCTGAATTATTGAAATAGAAAGAGAAGGGGATTAGAATCCAAATATTTGTGTGCGTGTCCATGTGTGTTTGCCTGCACTTGTAAAAAGTAAAGTGACAAGTAAAATTATTCTTGATACCAATTTTATGGCAATAATGCTTCCCATGAGATTATTAGATGACTATGAGGCTTTGCAGGAAGAAATTTGGATAACTATGGATAAGTCTTATTACAGATCTTTTAAAATATTGTGCGATTTAAAAAAAATTTTACTGTAAGTTTACAAATTATAGATGTATATATTTATGGGGTTCCATGTGGTATATTATTCATAAGTGCAATGTTTAATGAGATTATTAAACTCATTAAACATTGCACTTATGAATAATATACCACATGATCCATAAATATATACATCTATAATTAAATTAAACTAATTAACATATTCATCACATCAAATATCTAGCATTTTTCTGGTGAGAACATTTGAAATTTACTCAGTGATTTTGAAGTGTGCACCACATTATTGCTAACTATATTCATCTTGCTATGCAATATGTCTTAAAAAAGGAAACAACAAAACTTTCTCCTCTTGTCTAACTGAAGCTTTGTACCCTTTGGCCATCACCTCCCCATTTCTCTTTGCCCCTGACTTTGTTTTGTTTTGCTTTGTTTTTTTGAGTTGGAGTCTCACTCTGTCGCCCAGACTGGAGTGCAGTGGCTGCTCCCGGCCACTGCAGCCTCGACCTGCTGGGCTCCGGCGATCCTTCCAGCTCAGCCTTCCAAGTAGCTGGAACTAAGGGCGCGCTACCACACCCGGCTAATTTTTTGATTTATTGTAGAGACAATCTCACCAAGTTCCCTGGGCTGGTCTTGAACCCGTGGGCTCAGGCAATCCACTCACCTTAGCCTCCCAAAGTGCTGGGACTACAGGCTGAGCCACTGAGCCTGGCTTGCCCCTGACTTTGAAATGTTTGAAAAGCCTCAGTGATTAGGACGTTTATTTATTTTTTAAATTTCTTTTTTTTTTAAAAAATGTGCGTTACAATTCAGGATTAGGTATACGAGTGGTCATCGTATACATAAAGTAAGGCCTCCCTTTGGTCCTCACTTTGCCTGGTTTGAGATCAGGCACCTTTATTGACATTACGTGCCTCCTGCCCCCAGCAGTTTCCAGCTACTGCCAATCCCTTTCTTATAGTATAATGGTAAAGGTTCAGGGTTTGCTTATGAGTGTGAACATGTGGAAGTTTCATATACCAATTTAGATGCTTATTGTCTGCTCTATGTGTTAGAATTTTGTAATGCTGCTTGCCAAGAGTTCAAGTTGTCAGACTCAGACATGTAGATAAGGCAAAAACACAACAGTGAAAGTAGACACGTCTTTATTTGCATGTTGGCAAATGAGAATTCAGTGTTTCCGCCATCACCAACTACAAGAGAATTCAACCTACTGTGTGTAAGCTTACTGTACAAAGCTTAGCTGAGCTGTCTGGGAAATTATGAAGATTTTCCTGAAGAAGGCTATAGATCCAGTCATTAGCAAATCTTGACAGTTGCTGGTTTAACATTTAAAGGGAGCATACTATTGAATTTTCAAGATCAGATACACATAGCATTTTAGATGAGTGCGTTAAGAAATCTTCAGCAGTGATATTAGACATTGGGGCATTTTTTTAACAGACAATGGGTAGTGTCATAAAGAGCACATTAACACTCATTTTAAGCGTGGAATTCATAATTGGAAACTTAGGAAATGGATTCATTGTATTGGTGAACTGTGTTGACTGGATCAAGAGAAGAAAGCTCTCTTTAGCTGATCAAATCCTCACTGCTTTGGCAATCTCCAGAATTGGTCTGCTTTGGTTAATGATCGTAAGTTGGTGTGTATCTGTGTTTTATCCAGCTTTGTTTGAGACTCAAGAAATATTAAGAACGCTTAATGTTACCTGGACAGTGACCAACCATTGTAGCATCTGGCTTGCTACAAGCCTCAGCACCCTTTATTTTCTCAAGATAGCCATGTTTTCCAATTCTGTTTTTCTCTACCTAAAGTGGAGAATTAAAAAGGTGATTTTAGTGATACTTCTTGTGGCCTTGGTCCTCTTGGTTTTTAATATTGCACTGACAAATATTCTTGTTAATGCATGGATCAGTGGATGCAGAAGAAATAAGACTTGCAGCTCTGGTTCAAGTGACTATGCACAAGTTACCAGTTCTCTTTTGTTAACCAACACTATGTTCATTTTCATACCGTTTACTCTGACCCTGACAACTTTTCTCCTGCTAATCTTCTCCCTGTGGAAGCATCTCAAGAAGATGAAGCACAGTGTCAACGGATCCAGGGATGCCAGCACCAAGGTCCACATAAAAGCCATGCAAACTATAGTCGCCTTCCTCTTACTTTATACCGTTTTCTTTCTATCTTTTTTTCTACCAGTTTGGAGCTCTGAGTTACTAGACAAAAATATGATTATTATGTTTTGCCAGGTTATTGCAATTGTTTACCCTTCAGGCCACTCATGTGTCCTGATTCTGGCAAACAATAAACTGAGACAGACTTCTCTGTTGGTGCTGGGGTGCAGGTTCAAAGATAGTGAGACCTCAGGCCATGGACCTCTCACCGAATCATCTTAAATATTCTAGAGGAAAATCATAACAAGTTCATAAGAAATTCTTGTATGTTACAAACTTATACTTCCCTAATATTCTTCCACTATGTATAATTTTTACAATTTTACAAAAGTATATTTTGAATAAACATTATCCAAACATATTACAACTTAGCAGGATATAGACATGTATGTATAGTAACATACCTAGACACAGGAGGATATGCATATGGACTCATTAAATATAATAACTCTTTATAGTAACAAATAATATAAATTTTATATTTCATTAACCTTTTTTGAGATTTTTAAATGAGAAACCTATAAGATATAAGATATATGTATGTATGTGGCATATAGTTACTAAAAATAAGACTTCATAATTTTATGTATATGAAAACAATTTTCTAATCTAGGGAATATACCTAAAATTTCAGATAACAAAAGAATAATAAAATAGATGATAGGAAATCACATACACAAAATTCATTACTTCAAATATAAGATCTAATTTACAAATGTTTTTGAGAAATTATTCATAATCATTTGGCTGTTGTATTCCAATAGCCACATCTGTATTATTAATTATATATTTAAGTATTTTTGAAATATATTTGTCATTATTAAGAGTATGCAATTTTCATTTGGAAATACACTGTGTTTCCTACTGTGGGCCACAATACATTTAAATTTTCTGGCCGGGCTCCGTGGCTCAGCCTGTAATCCCGTGCTTTGGGAAGCTGAGGTGAGTGAATTGCCTGAGCCTGCAGGCTCGAGAGCCGCCTGGGCAACTTGGCTAGACCTCATCTCTACAATAAATAAAAAAATTAACTGGGCCTGGTAGCACACGTCTGTAGTTCCAGCTACTTGGAAGGCTGAGACGGAAGGATCGCCTGAGTCCAGCAGGTCGAGGCTGTGGTGGCCGGGAGCGGCCACTGCACTCCAGTCTGGGCGACAGAGTGAGACTTGAACTCAAAAAATAAATAAATAAATAAATTTTCTTTTTGTTGAGTTGGAGTCTCACTCTGTTGCCCAAGCTGTAGTGCAGTGGCATGATCATGGCCACCGCAGTCTCAACCTCCTAGGCTCAGGCCAATCTTCCACCTCAGCTTCTCAAGTAGCTGGGACTATAGGCACGTGCCACCACACCTGGCTGTTTTTTGATTTATGGTAGAAACTAGGTCTAGCCATATTGCCCAGGCTGATCTTGAATTCATAGCCTCAGGCAATTGTCCTGCCTCAGCCTCCTAAAGGGCTAGGACTATAGGTATGGGTCACTGTACCCAGCCAGCATCACATTTATGTTTTAATGTGCAATACTAGCAGATCTTGACTGATGATAATCTTTTAATGCATATCATTCTAGGAGATTGCTCTTTTTGTATAATTTATTTCATCACATAATCTATTTTACTAAAGGGAAAAAACCCTCTGTTTTCTGTCCCACATAGGAAGAGAAATTTCGAGTAACTATGGAGCAGTCAACACATAATTAGTATGAGTATGACTATGTGCATATGTTGTTCACAGTGGCTTTATCGCAGAAATAAAAATTAATTTAGTAAAATAGATGAAACATTCAGAATAAATTAAGTTCAAGATGTGGGATGGGGGATGAATCATGGTCATGTGCTCAATTTTGTTAAATCTTCAGTATGATAGAATCCTGCATATCTTTAGAAATAAAGCATTTTTTTTTTGAGTTGGAGTCTCACTCTGTCACCCAGACTGGAGTGCAGTGGCGGCTCCTGGCCACTGCAGCCTTGACCTCCTGGGCTCCGGCGATCCTTCCCCCTCAGCCTTCCAAGTAGCTGGAACTACAGGTGTGTGATACCACGCCCGGCTAATTTTTTGTTGATTTATTGTGGAGATGCGGTCTTTGCCAAGTTGCACAGGTGGGTCACCAACCCGCGGGCTCAGGCAATCCACTCACCTCAGCCTCCCAAAGCGCTGGGAATACAGGCTGAGCCACCAAGCCCGGCCAATAAAGTGTTTTTTACTTGTGGCTTAAACTCAAAAAAATCCCTTTAAATGGTAGACTTTGTGTTTTAAACAGATCTTATTATTATTCTAATGTTGTTCATCCATTCATTTATACATTGAACAAATCTATGTTGAATGTCTTTTCTTGGTGTTTTGGAAAATATTTTAATTAGAAACATATGCCTTAAAAGAAAAAATGAGCGTATGCAGTAGATAGCTATATGTGAAGTTCTGAGATGTTAGAAGACTAATTCAGTACTTCACGTTGACACAAGTACAGAGCTAGAGCAGTAGTCCTCAGGATGGTGAGACTTTCCCTCCAATTCGGGCAAAACTTCCACAGACAGACTGATCACACCCAGGTCACAAACTGGTGGAAAAAGAATATGTAGTTCTAGTACTTATGTTAATTGTTGTTTTTTTCTTTGTGATTGGTTACCTGATTAGTGTGTATACGAAAAGGTAATTGGTTGGGTTTGTTTGTTGCATTAGAAGCCGGCTGCCTTACTAAATTATCCTTGTGCTTTGTGTTTTCAACTCATTCTCTTGTCTTTTGCAGATAGAAAATTATGTCACCTGTATATAATGATTTATAATGATTCGTTGACTTCTTCCATTTAATTATTTTTAATTTTTATTTTGGTGTTGGTTTGTATAATGAAGTGGCTGACCATTCAAAATGTTAAGTAATTGTGGTGATAACTGATATTTTTGTGAGTGGACTTTTTCCTGTGTTTCAACAATAAATATAATACTGACTTTGGGTTTGAGATAAATACTTTAAAAAATCATCTTAGCGGGAATCTGCATCTTCTTATCTGTGTGAGATATTCTAATAAAATCTGTGTTTAAAAGTATCAAAAGTGTTTTATTATTTATTAAGATGATGATAACATATATATTTTTCTCCTCTGATCAATTAAGGTAGAGATACCTTTTAATAGCGGTACATTAAACAATGGAATATCTTCTAGTCTATGTATTCTATATTTGATAGAATATCATATACATGTTCACATTTATATATATGTATTGTAATAAAATTGCAACCTCAGAGATAAATAGGAATTCAGAATGTATCTATAAAATAATAAGTGATCAAGCCTGTAATCCCAGCAATTTGGGAGGCCAAGTGGAGAGGATTGCTTAAGCCCAGGGGATCAAGACCAGCCTGGGCAACATAGTGAGACATTGTTTCTACAACAAATAAAAAAATTAGCCAGGTGTGGTAGTGCGCGCCTGTAGTTCCAGCTTCTTGGAAGGTTGAGGCAGAAGGATCACCTGAGCTTACCTGGTCGAGGCTGTGTGGCCGTGAGTGTGTCACTGCACTCCAGCATAGGTGATAGAGTGAGATTTCAATTTAAAAAAAGTGGTAATCTCCAAAGTGATGGGAAATTCCACTTTGAATAACTGATAAATCTTCTCCAAAAATTACAAACCAGAAGATGATTTATATTTTCAAAGTGCTAAGGAATGTATTTATAATCTTGAATTATTAGTCAAAAATTTGTCCTGGGGATTCAATTGAATACTTTTTTCTGAATAAAAAAGAATGTGTTTATGTGCTGCATACACCTTCTCACTGACAATGCTATTAACAGATCTACTTCAGAAAGATTGTTATAGACTGAAGCATATGCCCGTCAAAGCCATATGCAGAAGTCCTCACCTTCAATATGACTGTATTTGGGGATAAGGCCTTTACTTAAGGTTAAATAAGGTCGTAATTGTGGGTTCCTAATCCAATAGGCCTGGTGTCCTTAAACAAGCGAAAGGCAACAGGAGTCTGCAGGTAGAAAGGAAAGACCATATGAGGATACAGTGAGAGGTGGCCCATTTACAAGTAAGGAAGACAGACCTCATTGGAAAGCAATTCCCCAGCTCCCTGGAGGACATCCTTTAAGATTTCTTGCATTGTAAGTCTGTAGGTGAATTTTTAAAAATTATTTTTAATGTATGAAAAAGTCTTTCTTTCTCTTTCAGTTTTAAGAACTATTTTAGTCCTGGTGTGGTGGCTCCAGCCTGTAATCCCAGCACTTTGGGAGGCTGAGGTGAGAGGATTGCCTGAGCCCATGGGTTTGAGACTAGCCTGGGCAACTTGGCAAGACCTGTCTCTACAATAAATAAAAAATTATTCGGGTGTGGTAGGTAGCGTGCACCTGTAGTTCTGATTTCTTGGAAGGCTGAGGTGGAATGATCGTTGGAGCCCAGCAGGTTGAGGCTGCGTTGACTGGGAGTGTGCCACTGCACTCTAGCCAGGGAGACGAAGTGAGACTCCAACTAACTCCAAAAAAAAAAAAAGAACTATTTTTTCTGGGTTTTCTGGCTTGAGAAGTTGTTTTCCTGTTTCATGAATTCTTTAAATATGTTGATCCAGTAGATTCCCGATTGCATTGGTTCTGAAAGAAATCTGCCATAACCCTTATTTGTTTGAATATAGCATCTCTTTTTCTCTGGATACTTTTTGATATTTTCTCTTTAAACTACTTTTTTTGAATAGAATACTCACCCTGCCACCCGATCTGTAGGGCAGTGGCATGATCACTACTCACTGTAGTCCTGACCTCCTGAATTCAGTTATCTTTCTGCTTCAGCCTCCCGAGTATCTGGACAAGCACCATAATGTCCAGGCTAATTTTGTTTTGTTTGTTTTTGTTTTTTGTAGAGAAGAGATACCAGTATGTTGTTCAAGCTGGTCTCAGACTCTTGGTCTCAAAGATCCTGCCTCCTTGGCCTCTCAAAGGGCTGGGATTAAAGGTGTGAGCTACCATACCTGGACTAAAACTACTTTTGAGAAATTTGCTGTAGTTTTGGGTATGTTTCTTGTGCTTGGGGTATATTGAGCTTCTTGGGGGTATGGGTTTTGAGAAAAATTTGGCCATTATTTCTTCAACCCAGCCTCGCAACTGCAATTACACATCCTTGGGCCTTTAAACTCTTCCAAATATCAATGATGTCCTTTTTATTTTTAAAACTTTCTCTTCTCTTTGTATTTCTTTTGGGTAGTTTTTATTGTTATATCTTCATGTCCACTAATATTATCTTCTGAAGTGTTTAAACTATTATTTACATCCCGTGTATTTTTCACCTAAGGTATTGTGGCTTTACGTTCTAGAAGAACAGTTTAGGTTTTTTTTTTTTTTTTTTTTAATTTCCTCTGTGTCTTAACTTTTTAGATACCTGGAATGCAGTTATATAATTGTTTTTATGTTCTTGTCTGCTAAGTACAATAACTGTGCCAGTTCTAGGTTGGTTTTATTTGATATTTCTCCTCATTATAGGTCAATTGTATTGCTTCTTTGATGGTTTGGAAATCTTTGATTTGATGTCAGTCATTGTGATTTTTCTCTTGTTGGGTGCTAAATATTTTGGCATTCTTATAGACATTCATGAGCTTTATACTGGTATACGGTTAAATTGCTTGAAACAGTTTGATCATTTTGGGAGTAGCTTTTAAGAGTTAATAGGCACAACCAGAACAGTGTTAATTTTTACCATCGAGGCAAAAGCTTCTGGGTGTTCTTCCCAGTGCCCTGTAACATATGAGATTTTTCCAGTCATACTAGTGTCAGACATACCCCTCTCCCCACCTTTTATGTGTGCTGGGCACGTTTTCCTCTAATTTTCTTAAATGACTCTTTTTTAGCATTGAGTAGTTCCTTATAGGCATATGACTACTAGTTCTTTGCTAAATAGTTGCTGGGGACCCTCACCACCTCTCTGTAGTTATCTCTCTGTTCTGGCGCTCCATGCTTCACATTCTAGCAGGTTTGATCTCCTGGATGCTTAGCTTTACCTTCTTAACTCAGGAAGTTCACTGAGCTTCTGTCTCTTCACCGGGGTCTAGAAAGTCTCTTCAGGTCATCACATGGAGCAACCATAGGGCTTATATTAATTGTTTCCCAGCTCTCAGGGATTAGTGTTCTTCATTGCCTGATGTCTTCAAATCTTTCATTTTATACATTTTGTCAGATTTAAAAAATCTCAGACAGGAGGGTAAATCTGATCCAAATTACTCCATTTGCATCAAAAGTGGAAGCTCCCATGTAAAACTGTTTGTGTCACTTTTAGTGTCATTTTTTAAATATGATACTTGTTGTTTTGAAAAATTAATCATATTTAGCTCAGTGAATTTACTTTTATACCTGCTAACTAGTAATGATTTTGTTATATATTACTTCCTTAAAGACAAAATTTTTTACTAAATGGTTTTTATTCCAGTTAAAATTAACAGGATATTTAATATAAAACTACAATAAGCATTTATGTAAGGTGTTTGCATGGGCATATGCTTTCATTTCTCTTGGGTAAATACCAATAAATAGATATTTGGATCATATGCTAGGAATATGCTTAACTTAAAAAAAAACTGCGTATATCTGTTACAAAGTGGTTGTACCATTATATATTTCCATCAAGCTACATATCTCTTTACATGGATTAGTGAATAGATAAATAAATTATGGTGTTTTCCATATAATAGAACACTACTTAGGAAAAATAATGTCCATTGATATATGCAACAACACGATGACTCTTTTAATAAGAGGAGAGGGTACACTTATAGGGGCAGACAGAAAAGCAATATCAGAGAGCTCCTCTGGGGTGTCACCTACCTTTCCTGGGACCACGTTCTGTTTTATCATCTAAAGTCCCATGAAGTTTTTGTGAGAGTTGGTGTTTTCTTCAAATTCATCTCAGTATTCTGGAAGATACCAAACCTGCAATGCCCAGTCTGTATCTGCATGTGTAGTATGTTGGGGCTTCTACTCTTGAGAGTTTTTTTTCTTAAAAGTCCCTATTTTTGCCTGCTTACCTACTCAATCTGGATCCCTCCCAATTGAAGGGCATTATTGACAATCTTATAGGCCTTTTCTGATTTAGTTTATTACTTCAATACTGCCTCAAAAACAGTTCTTGAGGAAATAAGAATGCATTATACTATTACTCTGCCAACTCGTTTTGGAAATTCATGCTAACTTATATTAAAGTTTGACTCAACAATCAGGGAGCAGATATTGCTGGGGAGAGATATGAGGAAGCTGAATAAACACAAAGGCCTTTGAAGACTATCGGCGAGTGAGTACCACTGAGTAGAGGACAGGCACAAAATGAGAATGAGTCATGCTCTGTAGATGGTTCTCTCCTCATTTTCAATATTGTCCATATCTGGCTTCACTTAAGAGACTGCTTTGTGGAATAAAGGTAGAATTTTATAACTTTTCATAAGCCCTGTAAATAATATAAATGCTTACTGAATATTCTCAGCAAAGTATTACAGATTATAAAGAGTAATCATGTTTAAATATATCTTGATATCTATTATGTTTAACATCATGAGAAGCATAATAAGCAGTAGTGAAGGAAGAAAGACTGAATTAATTAGAGAGAGAATTAGGGGTTTTGAATATTAGAGAGAGAAGTTAGAGGATTTGAATCCAGATGAATTATCTGAACCTCATGTTTCTATTGCCAAGAAGGAGACAGTCATTCCTGCGCAATAATCCTATAAGGTTATTCTTCCAGGTGGGAATGTATGGACACTTCCAAACAATTCATTGATGAGTAACTGTAAATCATCAGCACCCAGCATTCAGGAGTTATGTCTTCTCTGGATTCTCCCAGGAACGTCAGTGCTTTGGATAGCAAAAGTGTTGGATAAAATATGAAAATATCTTTTCTTTCTCCCATTATAGCTCCTCGGTGGATATGATTTTAGTGCTCGTGAAACTCCACCTACAAATTTAGATATTTTCTATATATTAGAGCTCTACACATTTAATTTTTAAATGTTATTGGCAAAAATTCAAGTTGATGAACTAGTTGTGTAGAGATAAGTTAAATCAAATATTGCAAAACAATGAAAGAGAATATATCCTTATTTGCATGAAAGCAAATGAGAACTCAGCTTTTACTTCAATATCAGTTGTGAAAAAGTTTAGCCTATAGCAAGGACAGACAGTGTTTGAATAGGAGTTAATTTGAACTGTATTGAGAAAGACACTCCTTTTCCATAAAGACAGCATTGAACTCATCTATTAGCATACCCTGCTACTTCCTGGCTTAACATTGGCCAAGTAAATTAAAAGTAAAAATAATTTTATTGTACTTTCAGAAATCAGGTAACTACAGAATTTAAGGTCAGGATAGTAAAAGAATCAAAACCTGTGATATTAAGCCTGCATTTTTTCTTCTTTTTTGTCAGTTCAGACATGATATGTTTAATATCAATTCTTTTTTCCATCTTAATAGTGGTTGAATTTGTTCTCGGAAATTTGGCCAATGGCTTCATAGCACTGGTAAATGCCATTGAGTGGGTCAAGAGAGGAAAGATCACCTCAGCTGATCAAATTCTCACTGCTTTGGCAGTCTCTAGACTTGGTTTGCTCTGGGTAATATTATTAAATTGGCGCTCAACTGTGCTTTACCCAGATTTGTATACTGTAGAAGGAAGAATTTTTGTTTTTAATGCTTGGGCAATAGCCAACCACTTCAGCCTCTGGTTTGCTACTAGCCTCAGCATATTTTATTTGCTCAAGATTGCCAATTTCTCCAACTTTGTTTTTCTTCACCTAAAGAGGAGAGCTAAGAGTGTAGTTCTGGTGATACTGTTGGGGACTTTGGCGTTTTTGGTTTGTCATCTTGTGTTGGCAAACATGGATGAGAGTATGCGGACCAAAGAATATGAAGGAAATGTGACTTGGAAGATCAAACTGAGGAACCCTGTACACTTTTCAAATTTGACTGCAACCACGCTAGCAAACTTCCTACCATTTACTATGTCTCTGATGTGCTTTTTGCTGTTAATCTGTTCTCTGTGTAAACATCTCAAGAAGATGCACCTCCATGGTGAAGGAGCTCAAGATCCCAGTACCAAGGTCCACATAAAAGCTCTGCAGGCTGTGATCTCCTTCCTCTTGTTACTTATCATTTATTTTTCGTCTCTAATCACATCGATTTGGAATTCTGCTTGGCAGCCAAACACATCTGTCATCGTTTGTTGCCAAGCTATTGGAATCAGCTATCCTGCAATCCATTCATTCATTCTGATTTGGGGAAACAAGAAGCTAAAACAGAACTTTCTTTTGATTTTGTGGCAGGTGAGGTGCTCAACAAAATGAAAGAAATTCTCAACTCCTAAGATTAACAAGAGGGATTTCATGTGTCTCCTAGCAGAAGACAAATGGATGGTGTCTGAAACATTTTATACTTTCATCTGGTTTTTGCGTAGTGTATTTATTTGAGTAAATACCAAAAGTATATCTAGAAAAGACATATATGGATGTGTATGTGTGCACATGTGTATGAAAAGCTCAAGATAAATTGATAATAACATACCCTTAATCAACTTTTTCACACAAACCACTTAGTTATACAAAATATGGTAAGAAACATAAGTATGCATATTTCATATATATTTTATGTTATCATATTTCATTTGACTAATTTATAATCTATATTTCTATGTTATTAAGATTTACTGCTTATCTCTAGAAATAATTGCTGTTTTCCATTGTAATTTGTACCACAGTGTATTTAGATTGATTTCGTTGCTTGAACCTCCATCATCTTGTTTAGGAAATTTATTCCTATTTCCATTGGAGTTTGATTTAACAGTCAGAGAGCAGATATTTCTGACAGAAGTATGGGGAAGCTGAATAAAACACGAAGACTTCTGGAAGACTATTGGGGAGTAAGTATCTCTGAGTAGAGGTACAAAATGAGGACGATTCATGCTCTTCAATTGGTTTGCTCCTCATTCTCAATATTGTCCATATCTGGCTTTACTTGAGAGACTGCTTTGCGGGATAAGCATAGAGTTTTATAACTTTTCATAAGCCCTGCAAATGATTACTAATGTTTACTGAATATTTTCAGCTAAGTACTAAAGAATACAATGGATAACTGTGTTTAAAAGTGTTTTGATATCTAATATGATTTTTAACATCAAGAGTTGCTTAATAAGTATTAATGAATGAAGAAAGACTGATTTTTAGAGAAAGAAGTTTGGAGTTTTGAATCCAGATGACTTATCTGTGCCTACATGCCTATTGCAAAAATGAAGACAGTCATTTCTGGTCAATAGTCTTATAAGGTTGTTCTTCCAGGTATGTGTGGACCCTTAAAAACAATTCACTGATGTTTAATGCAAATCATCATCACCCAGCATTCAGGAGTTATGACTTCTTCATCCAGGAAACATCATTTCTTTGGATAGCAAAAGCTTTGGGTAAACTGTGAAAACATTTCTTCAGTCTTCTTTTATAGCTCTTCAGTGGAAATGATTTCAGTGCTCTCCAAACTCCATCGACTAATTTAGATGTTTGCTGTATGTTAGAACTCTATGCATTGAATTTTTAAATGTTATTGATAAAAATTCCAATTGATGAGCATGTTGTACAGAGGTTATTTGAAGCAAACGTTGCAAAATAATGAAAGATAATATGTCTTTATTTGCATGTAAAAATGAGTATTCAGTATTTTTTTCACCATAAAATCTGAAAAATTTCACTTTATGTTGAAAATATAGTGTATTTGAATCAGCGTGCAGTTAGCTGTCTGGGGGAAAATGCCTTTTTTGTGAAGGGAGCTGTGTGCCCACCCATTAGCATATCTTGGTGCTTTTACTTTGTTAGTGAACCTATGATATTTTAACAGAAGAAATTAACTGTACATCTAAGAAATATGTATGAATAAATTTACATATGGTAGATCCAAAAACTGTCAGCCTTATAATCAGAAATTGCAGTTCTCTCTTTGCTGATAATTTAAGTGTATACCATCTTCACTGAAATATGAAGTATAGAACTAACATTTGGGATTTGGGGTAGTGGATTCATAACATTGGTGAACTGATTGTGTTAAGATGTGAAAGATCTCATCTGATCGAATCCTCACTGCTTTGGCAATCTCCAAATTTGTCTGATTTTGGCAATAATGGTGAATTGGTTTACAGAGAAGTTGTATTCCTCTTTACATACGAGTAGAAAGGAAGTTAACTTGCTATTTCTGGGGTTTGGTCAATCATTTTAGCATCTGACTTGCCACAAGTCTTAACTTCTTTTATTTTCTCAAGATAACCAATTTTTTCAAATCCTGTTTTTCTTCACTTAAAATATAGAGTTGAAATGGTAGTGCTGGTCATGTTGCTGGACACGTTAGTCTTATTGTCTTTTAATATTACTATGACAACATGTACATTAATATCTAGACACATCCATATGAAGAAAATATGACTTCTTCTAAAAGGAGTGACATTGAAATCTTTTCAAAATTGATTCTATTTAATGTGGAAGCCATCATATCCTTTTCCCTATCCTTGATTTTTTTCCTCTAGTTAATCTTCTCCTTGTGGAAGCATCTCAAAAACAAAAAGCTTAATGCAAAGGAATTCAGAGTTTCTAGAGTCAAGACCCGTGTGAAAGTCATGATACCTGTATGTTTTTCCTTTTACTATTTGCTATTTAGTCCTGTCTCTTCTCGTAATAGTTTTCCATTCTGAGGTGATACAGACCAAACTGATCTTTGTGTTTGTACAGGCTATTGTAGATGTTTATCATTCAATAAAATGGTACTCTAAGAAAAGCTTCTCTTTTGATGCTGTGGCAACTGAGGTGTGGATGAAAGTTGGGAAACCACATCCATAGACCAGGCTGGTGACCATTTTATATAATCCAGAAGACAAACGTTGTTAAGGAATCAAATTACCAGCAACAAAGTTTTTACCTCTTTGAAATTGAAAAGTTTTTACCTCTTTGAAAAAGTGACAAAAATATGCATGGTGGGTATATATGGTTTATACTTAAAAATATAGGTTTACATGCAGATGATTAAAGCAAGACCCCTACCTATTGCCATACACAAAAATCAACTCTAAATGGATCAAAAACCTAAATGTAAAACTTCAAACCATAAGAAACTTAGAAGATGCAGGAGACTCTCTTATGGAAATTGGAACTGGCAACCAATATCTGATCAAAACCCCAAGTGCCCAGACCATAAGTGATAATATAGACAAGTGGGAACTTGTCAAACTGACAAACTTCTGCAAAGCCAAAGAAACCATCAAGAGTGCAAGGAAACAGCCCACAGACTGGGAAAAAATATTTGCTGACTGTATATCTGACAAAGACCTAACATCTAGGATCTACAAGTAACTCAAACGTGCTGAAAAGAAAAAAACAAACAGCTCCATTACAAAGTGGGCAAAAGATAGGAATAGACAATTTTCAAAAGAAGATATACGAGCAGCCAACAGATACATGAAAAAATGCTCAGCCTCAGTTGTCATCAAATAAATGCAAACTAAAACTACATTAAGATACCACCTAACTCCAGTCAGGATGGTCATCATCAATACCTCAAAAAACAACAGAAGCTGGAGAGGATGCAGTGAAAAGGGAACACTTCTAGACTTTTGATGGGATGTAAACTAATACAACCTCTGTGGAAAACAGTTTGGTGATTTCTAAAAGATCTAAAAATTGACCTTTCATATGATCCCGCATTCCCCCTACTCGGAATATACTCGGAGGAACTCAAAGCACTCTTTGAAAAAGATACCTGCACACGTGTGTTTATTGCAGCATTGTCAACAATAGCAAAAAACTGTAAACAACAATGCTGCCCATCGAAGAGGACTGAATTTAAAAAAAAAATGTGGTACATATACACAATGGAATATTACGCAGTCATAAAGAAGAAAAAAATCATGAACTTCACAGAGACCAGGATGGACTTGGAGTCTATAATACTGAGTGATCTTTCACAGAAACGAAGAACTGAGTATCACCTGTTTTCACTCATAAGTGAACCTTGAACAATTATCATAATACTATAAGAAAAGGATTGGCAGTAGTAGGAAACAGCTGAGAGTGGGGGTGGGCGGTAGGCGGGATTGGCAATAGTGGGAATATGCCGG